AGCCGGCACGATGGCCGACAGCATATATACGGCACGAAGGCCCACACATCCACGTATGGCATGAAGGCCCACACATCCACATACGGCACGAAGGCCGTCAATGACATACAAGGCACGAAGGCCGACAACCAGCGGGCTTTATACCTTGGGTGGCGGTGGAGTCGGGCGATGCGGTGCCGGGGTGACCTTCGTCTCCATCGAGGGGCGGGGACGAACGACGAGGGGCGTGGCCGGCGGCCGAGGCTCCTCCTCCTCCCTTCTCCTTCCTCCTCCCTTCTCCTTCTCCTCCCTTCTCCTTCTTCCTTCTCCCTTCTCCTCTCCTCCACCTCCCTTCTCTCCTCTACTCCCCTGCTCCTCCTCTCCTCCACTTCGGTAGTTCAAGGGCGGGGGGCAGCCAGGGCAGGGCACCACCGGCGGGTCCACGTCCGGCGGCGGAGCGGGGATAGGGCGGGAACGCCTGCGGTGGAGGTCGGGCGACGGCGGGGCGGGGCCGGCTACGGTGGAGGTCGGGCGACGGCGGCACGAGGCCGGGGCGGGGCGGCGCACCACCAGCCGTGGAGGGCAGACCCGGGTGCGGGCCGGCCGCGACGGAGGTCCGGCGGCGCTGGTGGTCCGCGGCGGCGGGGCGGGGCCAGGGCGCACGGCTGTGAGAGGGAGAGTGGGTGAGTGGGAGCGGGCCAGCCGGCCCGCTAGGGTTAAGTGGGGCGGCCCTTTGCTGAGTGCCGAGATGCGGGCACTCGGTAAAGAAATTTAGAGGTTCTTTTAATCCGAAAGATGAAAAAAAATCTGAATATTCTGTGCCGAGTGCTGCAAGCCTGGCACTCGGTAGAGAGGTTCCTTTGCCGAGTGCCAATTCCGACACTTAGCAAAGTATTTTTTTTTTCAAATTTTTTCTGTGGCATTTATACAGTACCTTGAAACACATGTTCCAATTTGGAACTTTTCTATGGTGTTCATGTTTTCTATGGGCACATGTGGAGATATCTAGGTTTTAGGCATCGTATGTCACAACTTACTCGAAAACTTCTAAATTTTTTACCACAGCCTCTATAAGCGATGACACGACACCTCGACAAGTTTCGTGATTTTCTAACTTCGTTTGCATTTTATATAATTAAAAAACACTTTTTTTAAAAGTTGGTGGTCATGTTTCGTGAAACAGATGTTCAAAATTTCACAAATGTCCCTGCACACGGCCTCAAAATACACTCAAAAACATTAAACACTATTTTTTGAATCGCTAAATTCTAATATTTCATGCACCTGCAGTTCAAATTTACTTTTTCGAGAAAAATTCAAGTAAACATAAAAAATTTAAAAAATATACCAAAAAGTCATAGAAAATTTCCAAATTGGAACATGTGCTTCGAGGTACTGTAGAAATGCCACAGAAAAAATTTGAAAACAAAAATAAAAAAAAATAAAAATACTTGCCGAGTGTCGGAATTGGCACTCGGCAAAGGAACCTCTTTGCCGAGTGCCAGGCTAGACACTCGGCAAAGACAGCACGTTTGCCAAGTGCTAACGGCTAGCACTCAGCAAAGGATGACAGAGGGGCCACCACCGGCGTCGCCTGAGGTATTTTGCCGAGGGTTATTCTTTAACGAGTGCCTGACACTCGGCAAAGAGGACGTTTGCCGAGTGTCCCTCTTTGCCGAGTGTTTGGCACTCGACAAAGACGGCCTTTGCCGAGTACCAGCTTTGCCCAGTGCGGCACTCGGTAAACTGCCTCTTTGCCGAGTGCCCATGTTTTGACACTCGGCAAAGCTCCGAGCACTCGGCAAAGAGCGCGCCTCCCGTAGTGTATTGATTTCGGGGTCCAACTTTGTGTTCGGCAAATTTGTAAACATATATCTAGAATATAAAGATGTGTTTCTTTTATGTTTCCCTTTGAAGTTTTTATTCTTTGTAATATCGCATGTTGAATTTTGGTTGGGTGGCAGTTTAATTTTGATTTCCTACTCTATGCTATAGAACCCGTAGGCTGCTTGTTATCCAGTAATGATGCATTGTGTTTTTAATTTAAATTTTTCATGAAAGCCTATTCACCTAACTCTAGACGGCATCTTAATCCGTCAAACAACAAATACATGGGTTGTTTTGAGAAAAAAAATCTTAATTAACTTTTATTTCATTTTATTGTACTACATGATCCGCAATAAATGGATTTTGGTTTGCAAGAGTTCTTTAGAAGAAGTAAAATGCATTGTCGGTGAACATGGCTAAGCTTATTATGTATTGTCTCTCCGCGGCCCTCCACGCCACCGCCGAGGCCGGGCTCCGCCACCACCCTGTCCGCTGCCGATGACGCCGGGCCCCACGGCCGTGGCGCTAGCGTCGAGCCCACCCCCGTGGGATGCAGCACTGGTGCATCTCCACAGACCACTTCCAAGTCCCCGCCACCGACGCCGGGGTCCACGCTCTCGCCGAACGTGGAGCCGTTCTACCCGCCTTCGGGAGGGTGCATGAAGCGCCGTCGGTGGGCGGACGACGACAGGGAGAAGTCCAACGACGGCCGCCCCACAACCTATCTGGATGTTGTCCGTCGACCGGCAAAGTCGGTAACTGCGTCCCCACCGCGTGCCCGAATTCGTTCAATAATCGTCGTGCGGGGCTGTGGTGGAGCGGACACCGGATGGCAAGGACATGGGCGAAGACGGCGGAGTCACAGACGGCCACGTCCCCAGCTGGTGTGCGGCATACCTGCTTGGCCAGTGGATGGCCGCGTCCCTGCCCGCCAATGCCTCGGCCAACGTGGACGGGTCTCCTCTCCCAACGTTGATGGGTGGCGGGAGATCCTCCCCAGACCGGAGACACGACATGCGGCTGTCTCGGCTGAGCCTCACCCTGAGCAGCTCCCACAGGCCCGGAGGATCCCCGTAGAGCTTCGCGACAGATGTTTCAACTACCTCTCCTACTCGCACCGAGTAGCGACCTGCCAGTTACCACGGCATTGCCTGCGCTGCCACGGCTTCAACCACCTCGCCAGGGATTGCAAGCGGACCAGGGCTGCTACGAAAACGAAGGCGAAGGGTGGCACTGCTTGTGGCAAGGTGCCACCGGGCCCAGCGCACACCCCGTAGCGGCCCGCCGAGCTCGGATGGGACCGGGGTGGGCACTGGCAGAAGACGGCGATGACGCTGGCGGCGTCGGAGGAAGCCAGCAAGTGACTCCAGCATGGATACGCCCTCCGATTTTGCCGGCAACGATTCCGCCGACAACGCTACTACCACTGTTGCTGCATACTACCTCCACGTGCTAGATCCGCTGGCGCTGGAGCTGTATGTGAGCACGGGACCTCACGTGTGGGTCGACCCAATGCTGGAGTTTGCCGCCTCGCTCGTCGTGAGCCAGCCACCAGAAGCACCAGCGCATGGGTGTCCGCCCGCCACGTCGTCTGCCCCTCAGAGGGAGGAAGCATCTCTGGTGGACACCAACTCTCCGGTGAAGGCTTGGACGACGGGCTTGCCTACACTGTTGCATGTGCAGTCGCAGCCACCAGTCATGCCGCCGAGGGCGGGACACGTCGTGGATGTCGAGGTCACCCCCCAGGCGCGGACATGGCCACCCCTACCCGGCCGACATGAGGGGGACAACCTGGCGTCGTGGTTGACGAGGCGTGCCTTCAAAGCCCCAGTGCCATCCCCCAAGCCGCAGACACGAACACCCCTCTCAGGACAGCTGAACGCGGGGGCTCCGCCGCCAAGAGGCTAAAGCGGTTCACCAAAAAGATCCTGCGTAAGGCGTCGTCGCCGCTGCTGCCTCAGCCGCCTGTGGAGGCACAACCAAAGTTGCCGACCCACAGCATGAGGATTGCCACACAGGCGCTTTCACGCGTCCCGGTTTCCAAGCGGGGAGAGGTGCTGGTCATGAAGCGGATGGGATTCATTGACGGACAGACGAGGCCTTCCACGGTGTCTCAGGACGCCTACGACAGTATCTTCGTCGACTAGCTCAACCCCTCGCATGCTGAGGCAATGCGACAGCTCTTCCTAGACCCACAAGAAGAGCGTCCGAGGCGCCGTGCAAGCAAGCGTGTCTGATCGCCGGCGATGGATAGGTAGTATGATTAGTGAGTAATAGCTCCTGATCCCCTTATGCTAGGGAGGGTAGAGACAATTGCATAACCCTAACACCCCTAGTGTGCAATTTTCATGGCGCGTCGTTATAACTTTCACTATTTCTCGATCTTAATACAAAGATGCGCAAACATAGACAACCAGACTGCCCACAGAAAAGAGGCAAGTTTAGATTGCCGGAGACCCCTCAAAATCTGATAGGGACATTTATTTAAAAGCCAACATCATCCTCCATAAACGCTTTCTCTATTCGTACTTGCAGCAGCAGCAGCAGAAGAAAAGCAGGAAATAAAGAATAGAACAGAGTTGATGCAAGTGAGAACAAATCAGCAGATTAATGGAATCAAACTACAACGATTTCATCTCATCCATGACGCCGCACCTTAAGTCATATTAATCACAATGGAATTAAAGCATCTGTAAAGAGTCAGCAATATATATTGGGAGCGGTTTTAGTCTAATAATATTTTTTTTCCAGAACAAGCAACTTCTTAATAAGACCAAAGGTAAAAATTTATATCTAAAAATCTTAAAGCAGTTGCTGACAGAGACCAAGTGAAAAATGGAAAAAAAAATCGTGATCAATTTTTGTGAGACTGAGTGAAGAAAGATCACTCATTCTACTGGTGCCCCCACCATTATCAGAGCAAACGTTTCAGCACATTCATTCCTGACCTGCACAAACAAGGGGAAGCTTTTGCATTAGACAGGAGTCGTTTTTTCAAAATGCTGTTTGAAGGTAGTGCAGCGTGGTGCTCAACACAGGAACATAGATAAGCTCACCTAGGACGAAGTTGGTCATAATCCTTGGACCTGTTCACTTGAACTTATCAGCCGGCTTATCAGCTAGAATCTATGGTATTTTTCTTTTAAAAAAATCAGCTTTAGCCAACTTTAATATCAAATATCAGCCGGCTTGTTTCATTTCTCCTGACGGCGTTTCTTGACCAGACGGTGAACCTCCATCAAATCTGCATCGGCCTCCTCCCCGGTGAGGTGAAAGTCAAAGGGCGAACTCGTCAGCTGCCTCATCACCTCCCTCTCTGGGCTCGGGGGCCCCTCGCAGTACTTTTCCACCTCGGATTTTAGGGTCGCGGGATCCATACCCATGGCAACTTTCAAGCCTAGTTTGAGCAGCTCCTCGGCATCCAGTTCCTCGGCCTGATCCTCGTTTTCATAAGAGCTACTGGACCCCACCAATTCAAGATCTTCAGATAAGCAACGATAGTCAATCTATGGTTACTGAAGGCGAAATATAGAACGAATGGAATACGAGTGGAGATATAGTCTCTGCTATGACATGAATATTTGTAGCATTTATCAGCGTGCATTTGAGTTGAGCATGCTACATATCATCAAAATGTTGCTTTTTACTGAAAAGAAATGCATGAAACTTGTGTAGGCTGCACACTGTATCAGTTCAAAATATGCAGCTTATGCATTACCTAAATAAATTCTCAGACATTGCAGATGGATTAAAAAAAACTAATCAGCATGTCTAGCTGACCCTGATTTTAGTCATGAACACAGAATAAGATGATCATATACATCTCGATGAAATAAGCTCAGCATTTACCTTATTCAGCTTTCTCTATGCGTGCATGGTTAATTATTACAACTGACAACTCACATACATGATACATTGGCAAGCTCATGCAAAAGCAAAGCAGTGTAGTAAGCCATACTAGAAATTTGTTATTAGAATGATAAACTACTGGTAAATGAAAAATGATTGCATATTGATATGCAGATATGAGATATAGTTACACGACCAGAAGCTGATTAACAATTATCAATGCAAAGCAATACTCAACTAAAACTTGATAGTTGATAGTACTAAGCAAGGCACAGTACTGTTCATTGGACCATTGGGCTAGCTACCTCCTGAAACAGGGCATGCGGAAGTAAAAGAAAACAAACGCAAACACGAAATGATTGAGGATTTATGCAAATAAAGCTGGATTCGTGATGAGATTTGTTACTGCGAAACGCACCTACTCACCTAACTACAAGGCCACAATCAATCAGACCATGCATCATCACACATCGGAAACTCAAAATCTGAATTGATGTGCAGACAAGCGTAGAGCCATAGCAGAGTTGGAGGCAGCGGCATCGGAAACTCAAAATCTGAATATACCTATGGCAACCCAAGGTGGCAGGTTCCAAGCCTGGACGTAGCGGCAGGAGGCAGTCACCGGCCAAGGCATGTTCATCAGCTCGTAGGCCTTGTCGGCGACCTGCAAGACTTTGCCCGCGGCCACGTCGACGCCGAAGAGGCGCTGCTCTTGCTCCAGCGAGAAGTAGACCAGATCGGGGTTCGACGGGCACACGGCACAGAGCCCGGGGACATTCCTCGGCAGTCGGGTCTCCTTGTAGGTGTCGTCGTCCCAGATGTCCTCGAAGCTCTTCGCGTACTTCTTCTCCCAGTCCCACCCAGCCGGAGTGGCGATCCGCGTCCACATGGACACCGTCGCTGCTTCCTTGTTGTGGCAGCCGCCGCTGTCCTCAGGGATGATCTCGACATAGCGCAGCACGCGGCGGCTCACCGTGACGCAGCGGTGGGTGTGGACGTCAGGCCGGGCCTTGTTCGGTACTGCGCGGTCCTCTGGGAGTTTGTGGAAGAGCAGCACCGGGTCAGCGACGAAGGGGTCGCAGCTAAGGAGCCCCCACGAGAGGTCGAACCACCATAGCGTCGTCTTCTGGGCGACCACACCGGCGGGAATCCACTCCCTGTCCTCGTCGGCAAAGTGCGAGGGGTAGATCAGATCCTTCTGGATCCACCGGTCGCCGCCGGTGCGAAAGCAGAAGAGCTTCGCACTCCCCTCGCTGTGTTTGTCAACCTGGAGCTCCGCCACCATGTAGTCGCCGTGGTAGAAGGAGACGAGGCCGATGCTCTCGATATTGTAGATGACGGGCATGCGGTCGGCTCCGCGCCCAGGGATGCGCTCGCCGGAGAATGTGGCCGCGTGGCCCTGCTGCTGGACTCCTGCCGTGCGGAAGCGGCGCTCCACGATGAGGTAGCTCTCGTGCTGGTCGACGGCGGAGTTCACGCCGTAGATGGGCTCGACGGCGAAGTTGAGGAGGAGGCAGTCGGGGACGGCGGCGAGGATGTAGGGATACATGTCGGGATAGTTGGGGTCGGGGTGCGCGAGTGGGGCGACGGTGAGGACTGTGACCTGCGGTGGCAGCGCGACCGCAATGGCGAAGTCCGCAGCGGCGGCGCCAAACGCCTCCGCGTCCGCGTCCGCGTCCGCGTCGCTGGGGATGGGGACAACGCGAGGGACGCGGCCCAGGATCACCCACGGCCACGTCGCCGACATCGGTTTTGCTTCGGCTTGAGCAGAAAGAAGAGCGACTAGAGGAAAGATTGGTGTGATTTGGGCCTTTGGGGGAATTTGTGGGATTTTGCTTGCAAAAGAAGACTCCATCCTTCGTTTCTAACACCCTCTGCGGACCGTCTCAGATGGCTCACGCCAGTGCTAGCCCAAAGTGCACATTAAAAAAAATTCCGGTATTTTTTGTTGGAGAAAAACGGTGAGGCTAAAAACGAAATGAAACAAAAGAATATAAATAACGGAAATAAAGCCCTACATATATACTCCGTCCATCCTAAATTATAAGTCATTCCAAGAATCTTGCAGAGTCAAAACATCTTTAGTTTAACCAAATTTATATGATAAGATAATAAAATTTATGATATCAACTAAGTATCATTAGATTCTTCATTAATTATATTTTCATAGTATATCTATTTGATGTCATAAATCTTTATAATTCTTTTTATAATTTTAGTTAAACTTGAGATGCTTTGACTTTCTAAGATTTTTGGAATGACATATAATTTGGTATGGAAAGAGTAGGAGTAATACTTCCGATGGGGGCATGTACAACTCAATAGAAAATGAAATTAATATAGAAGAAAACAAAATTTAAAGGCAATGGGAAACAAAATTAAAAGGGAAGAAAAGAGAAAAGCCATGTAATACTGGAGAATAAAAAATAACATCCCATGAAAAACAACACCACCACAAAAGTCCAGCCTGCTACTGTGCTTAGCCTGGGTCTCCCAGCGAGAGCAAGAGCTCCTGTGGCCGTCCGCCAGCCCCCTGCCTCTCCTCTCCCGCATGCTCGCCGGCGACGAGGGTAGGTGGGCCGGTCCCCTCTTATAGAGTTCTTAGTAGATCGTAGTTAGAGTTGCCCTAATGGGAGAGTCATGTCTTGCGGTCATCCGCGTCGCCGTCGTAGTAGCTGCCATGGTCTTCCCCGGTTTCTTCCTTGCCATCGATGTCGTCGACTTCAAGGTCAGTGTTAATAAAATAAATCCTTTCTTCTTCCCTGTGGATCTCCTCCCCATCACCCTCGCTTCCGCATCCATCCGCGCGAGATCCGTCCCTTCCCGATCCGCAACCTTCACCGCACGCATCCCTCTCCGTTCAGCAGCCTCTGGTCCTGGTGCTCCATTCTTCAGCAAGGCAGCTCCGCCTCCACTTGGGATCCTGGTTCGAGCTTCTTCTTCTACCTCCGGCGACGGCTTCATCTGCATCCTTCGATCGTCGGTGTGTGTTGCCTCCTATGGCTCAACCGTCCCACCTTTAACCAGCGCTTTGCAGGGTCAGTCCACCCGGGTGTATGCGTCGTTGACGCCCCTGCGACCCTCCGCCGGCGGCCTTGTCTCCCCCATCGCCTTCGACGTTGCTACCTCCCCATCCAGTTGCAGGACTTTGATGCTCTTTGTAAAATGGCTGCTGTTTTAATATAATATATATGAGTTGTTGTAAAAAAAAACATGCCATGAATACTATGCGAATAACTAAAATACAGTATAGAACATCGTCTCATGGATATTGTATACTAATGAACAATATATTATGCAACATTCTATGGATTCTATGTAGAATAACCCAAAATACACCGTGGGAAATCTCATGGACATATAGCACAAAATCCAAAATGGATCAAGGAACATCTCAGGAATGCTGTAAGAACAATCTATAATACATCATGGAACATCTCATGAATAAATATAACTATAATTTAGAATACATCTAATAATTTATGAGAACAACCCTATTATATTATAAAAATTAGATCAAGCGAATATGATGCCAAATCATGGGTACACAAAGAATTCTACTAAATATAAGTATATAATAAAGGAATGAAAGAAATAATATAATGACTAAAATAATTAAAAATAAAAAATATGTTTTAACTAATTTTAAAAGGCTTGAACAATGTAGGGCTCTAAATATTTTGTTTGATTTTCCTTCAAAAAAATATTTTGTTTGATTATTTATGTCCCAATCAAATCAAAAAATTTAAAGCTTAGAGAAATTTTCTACGGTTTAGAAACCTTATCAAGTATTTACCAATTTTTTTAACTAAAAAAGGGACAAAACCGCAATTAAAACCACTTCAAACAAGAGCAGGGAGATAATTTGAATAGTTTTGCGATCTTAGGGGGTAAAATGTCTAGTTTTCAAATTCGAGGAGGAAATTAAAACTACAACGATAGTTCACGGGGTAAATGGACTTTTCCAAAGCAAATTGACCATGCATAAAGAGATTGGGCTAAGTACATGGTCCAGTCATGCTACGTTGTAAATAGGCTGCGTCCCGCGGGGGGAGTGGTTGGTCGGCGGCGATGGGAACGTTTTGTGCAGTTGTGCTATGGAATTGTTTTTCTTTAGGATCTTCTGTGGAATTGGTAGCAAGAGCGGATTTTTATTTTCAGCTGCAATGGGCAAATTGATGAAGGCTACTAGATGGAACATGAATGAAAAGAAACAGTATAGGAAATTCAAAAAGCTACGATATCAAACAGTCCAGGTGGCCCAACCAACAGCCCGTGTGCGACTCATCAACAATGGGAGTATGGGACACAGCCTACCGGCCAGGTAAATGTTTGTCCTTTTCTTTTTCTATTGGTTTCTATATCATGTCTTAGAAAGTACATTCGTTTTTACTTGGTTTCGGTTTTGGTATTATGTATTCATTTAGCATTTTTAAATAGTTTGTTTCGACCTTTTGATTGACTTCATTCAATATTTTCAAAGACTTAAGTCAACATTTATGTGAAAATGTTTAAACCAAGCCAACATTTGGCAAAGTCTACTCCAAATTTTATATAAAAAGATAGTATATTAAAAATAAGTTGAAGTAGTACCTTATCAAATGTTGAAATATGCTTGAAATGTTGATTTTTAGAACATTAAATAAATAATAATATATATTAATCTCATTTTGCTAAATTTATTTTAAATAGCATGGTGGTTCAAAACTGATTTGAAAATAGATCTTAACGAGAGACAGATCCAGCATATGGCATGGTCCGGCGGTCACCGGATCTCACCGCTGGCGAACTTCTCTTTGTATGGGGTCTCAGCGGCGCGAAACTGGGAAAGACGCAAGGAGGAACAGCTGACGCACATATGGGCTCCTAGCCTATCACCTCCATCTGGGCCAAAAATGGGCTGCATAGCATCCACATCACAGGAGATACAACCGTAGCCCAACTGCGTATGCCAGCAAATGGGCAGCGACATCAACATACATTTGTTGTCTTTTTTCGTGGAACTCATCAACGGTAAACAATAGCAACCAGTGGCGGACCCACGATTTACCTAAGACTAGGGTCAATTTTCAGTGGCGAAACGCCGATAGCAACACCATTGTCTATATGATTCTAAAGTCCTGGTCCTCTTCATCTAATTGTAATCAGACGTTCAAAATTGTCAGTTGAAATCAAAATTAGCAGAGATTACTTGAAATCTCGAACTCCTGTAAATAAAGAGAAGAAAGACCTTCACATAATCACAGTTCAAAGCTGCGACGCGGAGCTCCTGCAGGTGCAAGCACCGTGCCTAGCCTAGGGCGGCGGCGGGCCGTGGACCGGCAGGCGGCAGATATTCTCCCACCGAAAAGTTATGCTTGTGCTTATATGTAACACCTCGGGTGTTTAAAATACTAAAACCTGACATGTCATCATATGCATTGCAAAGCATTTGGCATTTGGTGAAAACTTTGAGATGCATACACTAAAACAACTTTATATTCATGTGGTATGTGTTGAATTGTATTGTTTGACTTAAATTCAAAGTTTGTTTGGATTTTTGAATTTTTCAAGAAAACCCCGCTTTTCAGCATTTAAATCCTACCTTGAAATCCATTTCAAAATCTAAGCATAATTTGGGGTTGATCCCAAAAGCAAAAGTGTAGAGGTTGGCAAGTTATACAAAGTTTGTTTTTGGAGTTTTTCAAGTTGTTTAGAAAAATTTTGAGTAATTCAAAAGGGCGTAATTCGTTAAATTTCCCTATTCAAATTCAAAAGTTCATTTCAAAATCTAGACCGAATTAGGAGATGGTTATAGAAGCAAAGTTGTAGAATTTTTGATTTTGAACAACTTTTGTTTTTGGAGATTTTTGAGTTGTTATGAAAATTTGAGAGTAATTTGTGAATTTTGGCGAATGGCAAACTTGTAATTACTGTGAACAGTGTCCACCGTCGAGAGTACACCGCCGACGACCTTCTTCGGCGTTCCAGGCGCGTCGTGGCCGTCCTTGGCGTCGCGCTGGCACAGAAACGGCTCTGTCGTGGCTTCCTTGAGCTTCTGAGTCGCGTAATAAGAACCGAGACGCCGTCATCGTCGTTTTTCTTCCTCCTCTGCTTTTCCCGTCGCCACCACCGCAGCTCCGTCGAGCTCTCGCCATCGACCTAGCGCCGTTGCCGTCTCGGCAAAGCCTGTCCCAGCTCCGCCTTAACCTTACGCGTCCAACTGACCCACCAATTCAGTTTATCTCCACCGAAAACTCACTGTCCACATCTTTCTTCTTCGCGGCCGGCAACTCCTCCGCCGAGCGCGATTCGCCGCGGCCAGAGCTCCACGGTGCATCTTCGTCCCTGGTTTTGGCTGATTCTGTTTCGTCTCGATGCTGTAGTACTTAATCCATAGCTGGTTGCTCATTTTGATCACTGCAGTCGCCGGTACACCATCGTCGACGACGTTTTGCTCCGCCGTGATCACCATGATCGTTGTCACGCCTCTCCGTTGCTTCTCCGACCTCGCTCCTTCCTTCAACACGTTCGGGGTGAGCCTCTGGTGCTTCCTGAATCCCTTGTTTGAGCTCTACCGGTCGCACACCGCCGGCGTAGCGCTGCCGTGCCACCGCGTCCGCCATGGTCGACGACGAGCTAGTATAGGGCCGTAATCAGTGCTGATAGGGACGTCAATCGATGCGCCTAGACTTGGTGATCATTTTGGTACGTTGGTCGTCGCCGGTGATCTCACCGTCGGCGAGAAATCGCCGGTCAGAGCCGTCG